TTATTTAAAGGGTGTTTTATGTCGGAAATCATGTGATACAGCAAGTAAAGACCAAATTAATGGGAAAATATTAAATTTGTAAAATTAGAGTACCTGCGATATGAGGACTTTGTATGAAGTGAAATATCTTAATGTTTCATTGTGTTCATTAGGCATTTATTTAGAAAATAGAAGATGCGGTATCCAAAATTCACTCCGTGATAAATATTTGCACCAGAAATTGGAGTATCTTTCTTTGGATGAGTAAATAATGTAGAAAAATGTCACCTTATATTCTATATTCTCAAATAATGACAAATCTTTAGTTTTTGTATCAATATTTTATGGATACTTACTGGCATTTTGTACCAAGGATACACATAATCGACCAGATTCTTTCAAATAGATATTTAAGTACCATGTCTAATACTAGTGCATTAGCTAAAACTTGCAAAATAACATAAAAACTGAAAATGAGTTTTTCATATAATTTGATAATTTCGGTAGAAACTGTATAATTTTTGAAAAATGAGCCTGAGCCTTGCCTTGTCTGGTCTACGATGATCCTCAAACGACATCGAAATACATTCTGAATTCTTGTTTTTTCTTCTTTACTAAGTAACTTGCTTGCCTGCCATTTGATGATTTTTAGAAAACATTCTAAGCACCTAATCCGTTTATCGGCTTCATCAAAATATTTTCTATTTGGTTCATAATAAATTTTCAAATTTTCGAATTTCGCTTGAGGAACTAGGCCTAAATATATTTTTGTTGATCATATAATTTTTGTAAATTTTGGCAATATGGAGAAATCTGTAAATCAAAAACTCGCCGTGAAACTGAGAGGAAACCAATAAAAAAACCTATAATGTTACTTTCATTTCCCTCTGCAGACCGTGTATTAATGAATCGCCCTGTATATATTAACATAATATATGAAAACTATATCACATTTTTTTTGTTTTTTTGTTTTTTTTTTCCGGCTTTGAGATAATATTAAACAGGAAACCATGTACGTCACAGCAGCATCAAACATAGCTAGAGAGAATCAAAGTCGCTCCTTCATTGGATACTTATCATAATTAAGTAAAATGAAGATTTTATTACTATTAGCCAGCGGACCGCGAAGAGAAAAAATAACTCATGCCGCTTCGTAATATTTGTTGTATCGTTTTACCAAGTTAAAGAGCGTCCGTAATAATTCCGTAATCCGGAGGAGCGACTTCACAAATAATAATAAGGCTGTAAAAAGTTGGCCGAATGATCTCCCGGAAGAAAAGTTTCGCCTTGAATTTAAAATTTTTCCCGTTAACTTATTCATGCCCCGGCGACACGGTCTTGTTCGATTTTTAAACCACCGGGCCGACACTTGTATTATTTTAAGGATCTGGCTTTCTGACGGTATGTCCACAAAATCGGGAACCTGTAAAAAATATTTCCAAAAATTAATAACAGAAAATTTTTGCATTCACTTAAGCCCGTTTCCCACTTAACAACTTTGGGAACTTGAAACAAATGAAGCATTTTTAACGTGTTATTTTTTTGGTTTCTGATGTTCATTTTTCGTTACACTACGTCTGGAGTGACGAAAATGACAAGAAAAATAATGGCCAAAAAGGAAAAAAAAATTATGTACACTGTATTTCATCGTTGATGATTCTACGCATATAATAGTGACCCTATGCTCTGTTTCTGGATAATTGTCAACGTTGACTTGCCAAGGGTAGCAGATAGACGACCGGTAGTTGACCTACCTGTTTCTCAGTATTTAAAGTTATAATTAGAGTTACTTTCCTGTAGTGATTAGCAATGTTCGTTCAGAATTTATTTGAAAAAAATGACAAAATTCATTCGCTTACTTCAACTAAGATGCGATTTCAAAAAGATATGCCGAAAAATAAGCTACTGGAGATTGTATATTTGAATAAACCTCTTTGAACGATATTTGTTGTCTACAAAATCCCTTCAAAACGAAATATAACAGTACTCCCATTCCGCCATATAGAATTGGTATTAACGCAAGTAGATATTACATATTATTCTTTCTTCTAGACAAGTTTTAATATCGGTAATCTTAGAATATTTAATATTTCAATTTAGATATATTATTTTAACACGCTAGCTGTAGTAACGCCGCTGTCACATGAGTTTCCTTCATTAACCTCGTCTTTCTATTGTTTGCAAATTGGTGTGATCGTGAACGAACGTTTATCTGAACTTGTCGTTTAAAGTAAATATTGTTACGTGTATTTGTTATCCGAAGTGTTAGAGACGTAGTGCCTATAAGGTTGGGAAATAGTGTTCGTCTTACGCGGATGTACATGGATTCGTGATGTGTAATTCCATGAGGTGTATGTTAACACGGTTTCCGGATGTCTTGTATTCACGCTGGTAACCAGGCCGGATGGGATCGCATATCCCGTATAAGATAATTGCGGGAGCCGTTTGAAGAATCGGTCGTCATTTTATGACAATTTATTTAGAAGTTGTTTCCGTTTTTGTATACGTTAAATAACCTGGAGGATGATGGATTGGTCCAGACACATCTCTTAAAAAGGCATTCTTTAGGATATCTGAATAATGTTAAAAATTGTGTAAGCTGGCCGAATGACCTTATGCAGTCGTGGCCATTAGAAGTAAAGAAGAAGAAGAAAAACCAATTCTTTAATGATTCTCGTCACAGAGTATTGTAAGGTAAAAACTGATCGCTAAAAAAAAATTCTTTTTAGTTTTCTTAAAGTTCGATACCCTGAATATTTCGCACCTATGCCTGCAAACACTTTTTGCAACAAAATCACCGGAAATTTGTCAAATTTGGCCATCATGCGTTTCGCAGGGTATTGCCACATATAAATTTTTAAAAGAGTAATTAGTGAGATATTTTCTAAAAGTGGAAATAAAAATAAAGGCTTTGTTTCAGAGATTTTATTTTTCTTTTAAACGTCGAGTTGAAATTTCGCCCCTAACCGTTTTCTTTCTAAACGGGGATCTCCGCCCACTTAACTCGCTTCCTCAGAACATTTAACGAGATCTAGGCATATTTTGAAAAAATACTGTTATAAAAATATTACCTCTGAACTGAAACCTGTTGAATTGACGAATTGTCAACGCTCTATTGGTTGAAAAGGGGATTTCAAATGACCGCGCGTGCGCATATTCATTTAATATATACATAGTACTTACTATATGAATATTATTTTCATCGTCGCTTCAAAAATGTCTGTATAATGAGCATTAGGCACGGCTACTATACAGATATCTGGAAGCTATATGGCTTACGGCATATTTTTCAGAAGCCCGTATCAAACCTAATTAAATTATTAAAAGTTATACACGATGTTCCGTTGAAAAAAGAAAAACCGTTTGTGCCACCTTTCGTTTCCTAAAAAGGCAACCTTGGCTCAGTCACAACAGAAAAATCAAAAATGGGACACACTGTACGGGGTGTCAAAACTGATGTTCGAGTGAAAGCCTTTGGGGTTGATTTCCTTAAAAAAGGGGATCTAGGTAAGTGGTAGGTGTTGATGTTTTAAAAACAAATAAATACCGGGTGATCAAAAAATAACACTAAAAATTTTGAATGGAAAAAACCGTTAAAAGCAATTTTTTATCAAACAATATAATTTTATAATATTTGCAATTAAAACGATATTCTATAAAAAGGTTGTAGCACTAAACAAATGGCACTTTACTGTCTATTGACAATATTTTATAACTCTTATAAATCATGTCGGGTAATTAATTTATTAACGCAAAAATGGAACAAATTTTATCAATACATTAACGCACCTAAACCTACAACAAACTGTTTTAAGCGAATTATAGAAACATTTTATATTTTCACGATTGTTATAAAAAACTTACTATATATTGTTAAAAATACATATTATTATAAAATATATTGATTTCCGAACCCGCAGCAAGCCCTAGTAATCAAATGTTTGTCGTCGTAACATTGAAAAAACGTATTTCTACTCCCGTCTGTAAAATACCTAATTACCTTGTCCCGCGGATCCGAGCCACTTCGGACATTTCCGGGCTTTTGCGGCACAGGTTTGGGAGCAATCGGATATCTTCGAAGATTTGACCGCACGCCTTGAATTTTGACGTTTGATAATTCTGACGGTCATGACAACCAAGGTATTCGTGTTGTTTTGGGCAAATGTACCCAAAAAATGACGGTCCTAAAAAAGTATAATATGCAAAACGTTCGGTAAACTTTTTAAGTCACTTGTTTATTAAATACTCACTCCGCTGCGCCCCGCTCGTGTCCAATAAACTCCTGAGTCAAATTCCGTTTACCGCACTTGTTGCATAATACACTATTATTGCTAATTGCCAATTATTGCTAATTATTGCTACTTGTGCAAACAACTATCGTCTCTGAGTTTACTTTTGACATTTTTCATTTATTTTGAGAAAAAGTGTGATCATATAATTAATAATATTTCTCTTTTTAACAGAGAGTAAAATTTAACGGTCGCTGGCACAATATTGTCGTCTAGCAGAGACAAGCGCCAATTTATCAAGACACGCATCAAATAGCAGCGAAATTATTCGGCGCAAATTTGTTTAAACAATAAAATATTAATTAATCGAGTTGACTCCGTTCAAATTTATTCCATTGAGAAAAAAGCTTTTGTTTTATTATATGTATCCGCGATACCGAAATGAAAGGCCAGAACGTTAATAAATTAACAAAATTGCTGTTGGTGACGCTCAAACATTTTAACGCCGTTAAATTAATAAAAATAATTTATGCTTTGATGTCGTTGTGTATAAAGCACTATTTAAATTGAAATTGGAATCATAGATACAACAAACGACATTTTTTCCTCTTGTGAAATCGATCTTTATTTATATGAATTTTCTGCGGTTTTCCCTCCATTCACGCAGAAAAAATCATTCAGTGTTTTGATGAATGCGCCAGACTCTATTTTATCGTTAGGCATTCCGTTACACAGAACAAGTGAATTATCCCGATAGTTCAAACGGTGAGTAGCTCAAATGTACACAACATTTAATACGAAGACGTAACCCGTTTCATAACCTCAATATTCGATAGAATATACGAAACAAAGTAAAGTGCTAATGCAATAATTAAAGTTTTGCGGGGATATTTGGCTCCACACGCGATGAACTTTCTTAAGTTTGTCGCGCAGATGCCTGCGATAGGCATAAGATCCGTGGCAAGTTTAATGTCGCAAACCAAACTTCCGCAGCATTCTACCCAGTCGTTGGTTAATAGAATATCCGGATTGCTGTTTCAAGGTACGTTCCGTTGTTATTCGAGGCGAGATCTTATTTCCCGCTTACTTGACATAATCGATGTCCTTAAAAAATCCAAATACATTGGAAACCCTAGCGTCTAGACCTGTGTGTGTGTTGGGTTGCCTAATTTTTATTTTAGGGTATTAATCGACAAATGTAGGGTTTTGGTTGATTCGCAACTAACTCTACAAAATACAAAAGAGTTTAAGCAAGTTAAAAATATTTTACGGATGTCGTTACACTTAATGATAATATGTCTAATAACAAAGTTTTTAAATTCCGTTTCCCGGGCGATATGTTTCATTTGCCCTTTTATAGATGGCAGCATCAATATGAAATTAGAGTAAATTTCCAAATCTTCATTAACGAAAATTTTATATTTTATGATTAAAGTACAATGACGTTTTATAAAATACGATTTTAAACAAAAAGTATACATTCGATTGCAATACGGGGGCAGTTTATTAGAATTCAATGCGTCTTCATGTGGACATTGGAAATGCAAACCTTGCCCGAGTCGGATGCCAGGGTCGAGGCTGAAAACCACAAAACATCCCTCGAATACAGGCCCACCCTCGCATCGCAACACGAAAGGGTGAACACGCGGGGATGATTGCGACGGATTTGGCCACGAGGAAATAATAGAGGGATTAGGATTGCCGTTTGCTGACCGTAGGTGACCACACACGGATCGCATTGTTGCCACGACAGTGGCGTCGAGACACGGTCCACGGTGGGTTTTGTTTTTCAAACCAAAACGGCAAATTACGATCGAAATTACAATCATTGGTGAAAAATCGCTTAAATCCAATGGGTTGTGACTGTGGGGATGAAGAACTATATGCATTTCGTCAGAGTTTGGAGGAATTCATACGCCGAAGATTGTAGCTAAAGTCTTTTAGTTTGCATAAAATTTATGGTAAAGTCTGTTCATAGATATAAGAAACTGACTAACTGATACGAATTAAGGAAAGACTCGGGCAAGCTGTAAGAATGAAATATGGCCGAACAGGTCCGTACTTTGCTTAGAATATAAATATTTGGGTTTTTGTTTTGTTTTTATACATGTAGTTTTGGATTGTTGCTTTTGTGTCACACGAGGAAGGGGTTTTAGTCAACTGTCTACTGTGATAACTTGCATTGTCCATTACAATTACGCTATTAAGATTAATGTTTGGAACTAGTTTGCTTTTAAACCAACTTTCAAATAAATCAGCGGTGGTGTCTTCATGGTAATCCAGAGAAGAATCTTTAATATTTTTCGCAGACAGAAATAGTCCATTTGGAATCCGACCATCTTTAGAGCTAGCATGCTGATGGCGCGTTTGTTTTACACTTGGACTTTGTTGTTCTCTGTAAATCCTAATTTTTTCTAGATATTCCAAAGATTCCATTAAAACTTGTCTTTTGTCCATTTTTTTAAATCTAAAACCCATGTGTTGAATACACTTCCATAATTTGACACATTTAACACCGGTTTCATCTTTTTCAAGCCTCCTAATTAAAATGTCTAATATAGGCACGCTTTGTTCCTCGCATAACTGGTAAATTTTACGCCGTATATCTTGATCACGTTCATCTACACTCGAGAAAATGTCAGCATTGCTTCTTTTTTTCGTCACTGAAATGGGATTATTCACAATTTTCCATACAGTTGATGTTGGAATTTTCGTGAATGTGGCCGTTTCTTCTAAAGATGCTTGCTTGCTATCACCACGTTCAATGAGAGTCAAATAAGCATTGATTAGAACTTCCTTAGTCGCAATAGAATAGTGTTTCCAACATTTGGGCGGGAGCATCTCCTGATATACACTAGACTCGCACATATTTTGCATAATTCGCACACGATTTAATACACGCTATATTACACACGAAATAAGAATGATTACTAATAAACTTAAACTAAGTAGTATACCAAACCAAAGAATATTAAACACAGGTAGGTATAAAATTACACAATTTTACCTGAATTTAAATTCCGAAACTTTAGGTAATAATCTTGTTGCATTGTATGTTAATGACCACCCTTGGATAATCCCATTCAAAAGCAATTGGTCACTTTCTTATATCTATGAACAGACCATACCAAGCCTAATCCACCCCGATGAAAATAGGCTTAACCCAACCTTGGGCTACTGGTGTAACCCAAGGTTGGGTTAAGCCTATTTACGACCTAGGACACGTCATCAAAGCCAAGCAGTAAATTTTTCTGTAATTTTGGAAATTAAAAATTAGTTTTCAAATTTTTGTTTTTTTTTTTGTTTTTTCTCGCACTTTTAGTTGACGATTATCGTTTCTAAACGAAAAATCGTTCTTGGTCGCAAGTGTCAGACTGACGTCGAAGAGAAAAACGTTAGTTTAGAAATACACTGAAAACTATCAAACAGCTTGGTCAAGATAAAAAGTCCATACTTACAGTTGTCATGTTAAATTTTAATTTAAAATAATAAAAATAAGTAGTTAAATTGTTATCATTAATAAATGAATGAATGAACTGTTTAAATTTATATAACTAATTATTTTGTTGCAGACTCGATTAATTTTTTATACACATTGAATTTCGACAAATTGAATTTTATTTTTATTTAGAATTGCTTGACTATAAAACTAACCTAACTAACTAACCATTATTATAAACGAGACCCTGCCATCCGAAATATAATAAACATATTTGTTCGTGGCAAAATGTTTCTATTACTTATTATCGCGTTTTGTCCAGTGCAGCACAGTGACGGCCACAAGGGAAAATAATCCCATCCGTGGACCGATTGTAATCTTACGGATTTTGGTTATTGCATTTTTCAACGTTGAATGGCAACTGTCACTACCATTACTATTTCTTGCTGTCTCATCTCGTTTCCGCAAGCTGGTACTGTCACTGCTGGTTTTTGTCATAATTTCGCACCGGACAAAACACGCAGCCATTCACTTTTAACAACTGACCGTAGGATATACATACGTTAGCTCCGCTCCGCTAAAAATGCGCCTACTTAAAAGGGCATTCTTGAATGGTCGAACGATCAAACGAAAAAGGCGCCAAACTAAAAATTGCGCTAACCAGAGAGAGTCACCTCAATTGTTTGAATAAATAGTTCATTAAGTGGTAAAGAATTGTTGCTAAAGAAGTAAAGATACGTTTAAGGTCTTTATTTTTGTGTTAACATCGATTTTTTTATGTTTATTACAGTAAAAAACATCCATTCACTTAAAAAATTTGCCATTTGCTTTAAACTATGTGTTCTATAATTCCTTTTTGCACTAATAAAAATCTTCTATAATTGCGTTTAAATTAGCACTGTCCTCCCCAGGATGTTGGGTTAGTCGGATCATTTTTTTTCTGGTAAAGGAAAATGTGATTGATGCAAGTTTTTAGTGATTTTATTTTTCGCCAGTCTTCTGGACAAATCGCTTATAAATCGTTGTAATCCCTCAGAAATTTCAGCAGATTTTTTTCGCAGGCAGGACGATGGCGAGTCTCCAACAAATGCACAGGACCGGGCCGCACTATAAAAAGCGAATAAAGAAGCGACCTCTGGACGGCAATCCGTTCATGAAGGGAGTAGTGATCAGAACGCTAATTAAAAAACCGAAGAAGCCGAATTCGGCAAATAGGAAATGCGTGTTGGTGAAACTGAGCAACGGTAAAGAAATGGTGGCATACGTGCCCGGTATCGGACACAGTTTACAAGAGCACCATATAGTACTGTGCAGGGTCGGACGCTTGAAAGATTGTCCGGGCGTAAAAATCACCTGCGTTCGCGGAAAATACGACCTAGGACACGTCATCAAAGCCAAACAGTAATTTTTTCTGTAATTTTGGAAATTAAAAATTAGTTTTCAAATTTTTGTTTTTTTTTTTTGTTTTTTCTCGCACTTTACTGACGTCGAAGAGAAAAACGTTAGTTTAGAAAAACACTAAAAACTATCAAACAGCTTGGTCAAGTTAAAAAGTCCATACTTACTAATTTAAAGAGAAGTAAAAAACCATGCAAGTATATTATAAACTAGATCTGACTACGCCTGAGTATGACCAATACTTTTTCTTTTTTTCTAAAAAGAAATACACGAAACAAACTACTTATTTTAAAAAACTAAAACAAAAACTACAAAGTAGTGGCTCGGATCCGTGGGCAACGAAACTGACGTGACGAAGTGAAACTTTCCGTACGCTAGATCGGTGTGTAAGTAGGTATTTTACAGACGGAAGTAGAAAATAGTATATTATGCAACAAGTGCGGTAAATGGCATTCGAGTTTATTCGACACGAGCGAAGCGCAGCGGAGTTTATCGAACGTGTTGCATATTATACTTTTTTTACGACCGTTAGTTTTGGGCACATTTTTGCAAAACAACACGAATACATTCACTGGCAGGACCGTCAGAATTGACAAACGTCAAAATTCAAGGCGTGAGAAAGATCTCCGCAAACATCCGATTGCTTCCAAACCCGTGCGGTAAAATCCCGGAAATGTCCGAAGTGGCTCGGATCCGTGGGAAACGAAACTGACGTGGTAAAGTGAAACTAGATCGGTGTGTAATTAGGTATTTTACAGACAGGAATAGAACAACTTTGTAAATCACTTGTTTATTAAACACTCGCTCCGCTCGTGCCAAATAAACTCGTAAGTCAAATGCCGTTTACCGCCCTTGTTGCATAATATACTATTTTTTGACGTCTACCACACTTCTGCATAACGTACTGTTGTTTGATATTTTTCCATTTTTTACAGTTGTTTTAAATTTTATTTCGTTGCGTACCACCGAAAGTGAAAAAAATGTTGAAATACGGAACAATTTGAACGTGTAGTTTCTAAGTTCTCTTTTCTCCTTACTGTCAGAGAGTTAGCCACTTTGTTCATTTTATTTCCATTCTAAATTTTGTATGAATTCCCTTTTTCAAAGCGTATTTAGCGCTATATCTTTTATTCAAATCGGGCGCTTTATCTATCAACTTCTCGTTTAACTTTGAGGGCCACCTTGAAAATCAGAAACAATTTCAATTTCAGTTTTTTCAAATTCTGTCCCGCGAACGACTTTCAAAGCATGGCAACTTCGCATCGACATCATTATCGTGTGGCAAACAGATACAAATTACCGGAAATCCTCCGATACAATGGGCCTGTAAATCTTGGCATGTCAATGGGTTCGAAGTGAACAAGTTATTTTAGATAAATCTGACGTAAAACTTCATTACAGTAAATACCGAAATCCGCTTACGGGGAAGGCGCCTTAAGAATTCGTCGAAGGAGTTAACGGACTATAGAGATAAGAGTAAGAGAGTAAAATAGAAATAAATGTTATGTCAAATTAGAAAAGAAAATCTCTAGTTTGCCCAACGATTGTAACACGTAATATTATGTATACGAGTAATTTTACTTAATTTAATACTTATCGATCGATCCATCAAATATTTTTAGGGGCTAGATGAAACCAGCTTAAGGCGAATTTCGTTTTGCCATATTACTAAAGTCTAATTGTTGATATCTAAATTTAGTTGCAAGATTTCAGCTACTTAGTGCATACCTAACTAAATCCAACTTCAAAATTGTGTCAAAAATGTGTGAAATAAACAATCTTTGCATGCTAATGCCTTAAAATAAATTGGTATGATTTGGGATTTTTCGAATATTATTTCGAAACTTCTCTAATCAAATGAAATGATATCAAATCAATTTTTCCACACATTTCTGTAAAACATCTAATTATACACCGATATATCATGCAAAAAGTCATTTTACTACAGATCCGAGCCCCTTCGGACATTTCCGTGATATTACCGCACGAGTTTGGGAGCAATAGGACGTCTTCGGAGATTTTACTTGAATTTTGACGTTTCTCGCTGACGCTCATGTCAGTGAAATCCCATCTGTAAATTACCTAATTATTCTCCGATCTAGCCTGCGAAAAGCATCACCTTACCACGTGAGTTTCTTGTGCAATTCCTTTATATGCTGCGCCCGCTTGTCGTTTACCATACTTGTTGCACATTATCCTATTTACTAAAATGGAAAAGTATCTCGATTATTTTTCACATAGCGGGCGTATTTGATGGGGACCCAGACCTACAACGAAAATATAAACAAACCTCAAAAATTCAGGTCATCAAAAATTAAAAAATGGACTATTGTGGCTCAACTTAAGTGACACTTCTTTTTAAATTCACAAAACGTCCGCCAACGCTGGGCTGGAGATTAATCTTCCAAAGAAAAAAAAGTTCACATAAATATAGGTTAGGAAATTTTTAGTTTGCAAGATGTTCAATGTTAATAAGTTTATTGCGTAGCAAAGGTTCCAAAAAATAAATGTTCTTAAAAATACGTTTTGTCAATTTTCATCACTTTTTTTTTCGGTCAGAAACGACACAAGATATGAAAACAACGCGAAAGCCAAAAAAGTGACTAAAAGTCAGTGGCTTACAATGCCAGTACTATTCCTCAAGATGCATCCCGGACCGTCACTGAACTTGCCAAATTTATGAACGGAAAAATATGGATGTTCCATTGTTGTTCCAACTGCAGGGGCAGATTGGCGGACATGGCTGTATAAACTAAATGTTTTTGGAAATTGTTTTTATTCTTTTTATTTCTAGAACACCTAAAAAAAACCAAAACATGTTAAACAGATAGATACCATGGCAATAATGAAGCATGAAGTTATCGGAGCGGGCGTATGCTCAAAGACGGCTCGTAAATTATATCGGACGGTAGCTAAGCTAATTCCACCCCATTAAAGGGTTGTGAGGAGCCGTAAATTGCCTCGGAAACTTCACAATAAGGCCACGCTTTATTAAAATTCGAAATTCACCGTCGCTTGCCCTTCTGTTCCGAAAGTTGGGAATATTCAAATCGGGCAATAAAATTTCCAACAAAGGTAGTAAGGATTAGGGCCCGAGTCTCCTCCGACTATATAACCGCAATAATATTTTTTCGAATTTGTCGTCAAATTGGCAAAGATTCCCGGAACCGAACGGTACTTTACTTTTTCGCAGTCTTTACGGCACCTTTGGCTCTTTTTACGACTATTTTGGATGCGAATTTCAATCGGGATCGTTTTGTTTGGGAACAGTAAAAAAAAGGGCTCGAGTTTTATATCGGCAACATTTAGATTCAAATTCTGAAAGAAAAAATGTCCCTTTTTTGGTTTTCTTATTCGTCAAAATATTTGAACGGTCTGATTTTAAGAAAAAAAGTCCCATTTCTTTTTTGATTGCTCCGACAAGTGATCTTATTTTCTTTTTGAATTTTATTTGCTGGGAAAACAGCGAGCAACTCGCGGAGTATTCGTGCTTTTTGTTGCATGTTTGGAATCTTTTATTTCGTTTTAAGCTGAACACGCACGTATACTAATAAATATTAGACTTAATCTTTGCTGCGAAATGAAAATAAAACGAATGTTTGAAGGACGTAATTAAGATGAAAGTGCTACTACTTTTTCGTTGGTTCAACTTTTGGTGTCAGTGTGGTATAGTAGTGTATATTTACATCACCAATAATCTTTTTTAACAAACGCAGAAAACGCAAAAATTTGCGGAAACAAATTCTAACTAAATGTTGAAGTTGTGGTGGTGCAATGGTTACTTCTAGAACCACAACAATTTGTTTGTTGCTATGACAATATTTTATAAAACATTACCTATATGCAAAGCCTTATGAAGCAAACTTTAGTCCGAGCACTACTTTCTACGCTTGTTTTTGGAAAAATTCGATATTAATGCTTTTTGAGTTCGAATAATCTTCGTTAAGTGTTAAATCTAAAATTTTTTTTGTCGACTTCAGTTATGCTGTTTCACTCAAATTATTTATAACCAGTAGGTACTTATAAATAAAGTAATTTTTAATCATTTTAGTTCTTGGAAATAAAAACGCAATTTGTTTTTTAATCGTACAAAGTGGGGTCGAAAACGCTCGCAGGTATACCGAAATCCGGTAGGTACTAAGACACAGTTAAACCGTAAAACAACAAATCGTAATTGCGCGTTTATTCGGGACCCGAAGAATTCGAAACTGAATCGGCAACAATAAAAGCTAATCGCCCGTATTTTACCGTTATCCGTTTCCCCCAAAATCGCAAATAACGGCAAATAAAAAATGCGCTTTTTATTTTCGGACACTCTATTACAACCTTTTCTTATTTACTGACCCTTTTTTGCGAAGCTTTGTTGTCGCTACGATTGTTTTGGTTTATTGCCAACGTTCGTGTCGTTTTTTAACTTTGGTCATTTCAAACAACATTTAAAAATGGTAGAAAATAAGCGCTATTACTAATTGCACTACTTTTGTTTACTATTCACGTAGCCACAAAACCAATATATATCTATACAGGGTGTATCGTTAACAATGCGTTAACAACTGTAACGTGTGACCAATTAAAGACATTCGTATCTCGAAAAAGTAATTGTCCTAAAGACTAAGAGGATGGCAATTAATTTTAAATTTCTAAAATGGTCACCAAAATAATGTTATATTACAGATAATTAAAATGGATGGATGGATAGCTGGCATAAATTCCATTCTTTTTCGTTGTTCGAACATTTTCGAAAATGAATGACTTCAGAATTGTTGAACGTATTTTGTCAAACTTGGAGTTTTTTTAAAGGGTTCTTTTTAGCCTATAAACGCAGCCCTGATAGGATCTATTTATTTATTTATTTATTTGTATGGCCGCTGATGAACAACAGTTTAAAAATTTTTAAACTGTTCGTCAAATATACATTTGCGTACCTGTCCGTATATATTTTAACCGAAGAACAAATCATTTTCGCTTAAGATGATTAGAATATTCTGATGAAGGTCAACCAATAAATTTGTCAATTCGAAATAAAGGCTATTAATAAATAACGGACC